TAAGAGCTTATGTTACAGAATATGTCTGAGAATTTAACCGGTAACGCTGCAGTTGCTGTATGCAGCCACCTCAATTCCATTGATTTGCGTCTGTATAATATTGTCTTTCTATATAGTTGTTAGGAGCAGGGTATTTTTATCTCCGATTTTCTAGGTCAAGCTCCATTGCGGCATTTCCCATCAATGTGCTTGACATTTGTACTGCTGAGTACTTAAAAGCCATTCATTAACTAATTTTGTCCCCTGCCCAGACGTATATATGGTATCCAATCGATACACATTGATCAGAATGTGATGGATTACTCGAGAATTGTATACAATCTGGGTCATGTTGACTTCCCAAATCCTGTCGATGATTACAAACCACTGAACCCTTCCAGGTGAAAATGATGTTATAATGTAATTCATTTTCATCCAGACGAGCATGTCTGGATTTTTATTTTAGTCAGTTTGACAAACTGCTCTCTCTCTCTCTATATATATATAAGCCATTGTCATCAATAGTTGAGTACAAGCTTGTATGTGCAAAAAAGTTTCAGTGCATGGTGTCACTGCCCGAAGATTTCTCTTGAATTTGTGCCAGTCTTTTGTTTATTGGATTGCATAACCAGTAGACTGAAGAAAGGGGGACATCACATGATCACTTAGCCTCCGAGCAGTGTTTCTAGGAACAGGATTAGAAATTAATTTTGTGTAACTTTACACAGACTCAAGCTTAATCAAGGATAAAATCACAGAGGCAAGGGTAGCAGACATGCTTATTTACCCTGTCATTAGCGTGTATACATAACCCATTTTCTCCGACACGTTCGTTGTTTACTGAGCACTTTGTTTGGGGATAAATCCATTGAAACACAATCAGTAGTGTTTGATTTGTTAGTTTTTTTTCAGAAAGGGAAAGCAAAAAATGTTGTCCGATCCGTGACAGTAAAACGGTGGATAGATGCTGCTGTAGACAAGTTTTAGGCAAAGCCTTTTGTTACCAAGGATATTGGGTTTATTTTAATTCCTTGTGTACTGGCAGACCATACGTTACAGTTAGGACAAAGAGGTACATTTAGGTTCTCAACCCTCTTCCTTTTTATTTCCCAAAAGGGATCAAGTTACACTAGAAAATAATTGCTCTCTTGCTCTCACATAAACACATTGATTTGGTCACAAAATCTTTGACAAGACCTTTTTTAGCCAGGGGCTGTGGTGGCCGAGTGGTAACGCATCTGATTGTATGCGATCACTAGCGTCCACCAATGGGTTGCAGGTACAAGGCCTAAGTAAGGCAGTCACCAGGTACCACTGCAGGTTGGTGGTTTTCTCCAGGTGCTCCAGTTTCCACCACCACCACAATCTGGCTTGTCCTGTGAAATGACCACAGCTGTTAATTGGACCTAAAGTACCAAAACACTAAACCAAAACCTAAACACTCTTGTTACTAAATAGTCCTTTAAGGAATAAGACTAATTCAAGGTTTAATTTTAGCTTCAAATTTACAGCAGTTATGAAACCAGTTTTATCAACTTATTTCTATCATTCTCCTTGGCCCAGATGGAAATCAACAGAAGGTCTTAATGTGGGAGGAAACATGAGTACCCGGAGGAAAAACCTAGAGTATATATTTGCAAAGGAAGGTGACTCCAAAACTTTTCATATCCTTTCAGGGAGTCATACCTTAAAATCTTGAAATCTTAAATCAGTCTGCATTTCAAATTTCTTGGGTCAAAAATAAGGTCATCATTACTATAAATAGAAATTCTGTATCATTGCTGTACAGACTTCATTTCTTATCGGCTTGTTATATCCTTGACAAACATCACCTCATGTATAATTGCAAAATTGCACCATTTACATTTGTAAACAATATAGTTATAAGGTCGCTGTCACTGTCATTATAAAACTAGTCCCCCACCAATTCTTTGGAAGGATTATTGGTTTTTACCTTGTCTGTTATATATAACTGATAGTCCCCATTTACAGTCTGTTCCTCTGTCTGTCAGCTGTCAGAAGAGCTTGTCCACGTCTTGTCTTTTATCCTATATACTTCACTTGGAGTAACCAGATTAGGTATGCAATAATATGTCTTCTGATGGTCACTGTGACCTATGGTTTTACCTTTGATCTCAAGTTTTGAAATTGTTTGTCCAGGGCATATTTTCTGTTCTGTGTCACTTGGAGTAACTAGGTTTGGCATGCAAGTACATCTTGGGATGGCAGTGTACAGTGCAAAAAAGTTGGTCGCTGTGACCTATGGTTTGACCTCTGACCTCAACCTTTAAAAAAGTTGGTCTTGGGCATATCTGCAATACTATTTCAACTGGAGTAACCAAATTTGATATGCAGGTATGTCTTGGCTAGCAAAGCACAAGAAGCATGTCACTGTGACCTATATCATAAAGACATTATTACTGGTAGGGACTATGTTTTTTTCTTGCAATACTTTGAGCTTTGTTATGTTTTAGAATTTTGGTGCAATTGATCATGATCACTGTGCAGATTTCATTTCTCAATTATCGTGAAACTTCACAATTGTTTTCAGAACTGTCACCTATTGTATGAGTTTCTTTTTGATATTTAGCTTTTGGGGTGAAAAAAAAGGTCATTGTAACTATAATGAAATTTTTCCATCATCGCCTAACGGATTTTTATTTCTTATCTGATTGTCATGAAACTTAAAAGCATGTTCGTGTGTGTGATAATTATTTGACCTTTCTAAGAACATCTACAACATCAATAGAATATCTGATATCTTTTACACTTACCCTTTTAGATCGCTTCCAAGCACAAGTTTACCAGTATCATCAGAAATGCCTTGGTATAAATTTTCTTCGATAGATGCATAATTAAGCATATTACAGCAGGCTAAAGCTTCTAGAAAGCATCTAGAGTTTGAGAGTTTGAGGTTTGAATCTCAGTTTGGCCGTACATTTCTCTCCTCCTGTTACAGTGGTACCAATAACCAACCCTTGTTTCAATTAGTTGATGAATGCTTAGCAAGGGAATACCTGAACCTGGGTTGTAAATAGTGTTGTCTTCTGGAGCAAAGACTTAGAAAAAGGTGGGAAGAGTGTAACAGAACTGGTCTGGGTTGGTTGCTGGCGACCAGTTAGCTCAATTGGTAGAGCTTCTGTCTAATGCTTGCAATGCTTGGCAATTGCAGGTGCTTGGCAAGGGAGCTTGGCAAGGGAATACCCAAACATGGGTTGTATTAATTAGTGTTGTCTCTGGGGACAAAGACTAAGAAAGATGAGGGAGAAATGGAGAAATGTAGGGGAACTGGACTGGGTCGTACATCATGATCAGGTAACTGAATAGGTAGAGCGTCTGTCCAGAGTTTGGCGGGGTCTTGGTTTGAATCCCAGTCTGGCGGCGCGATTCTCTTCTGCTGTTACATATTCATATGGTCATTATTGATGTCAGAGAGCTTGACAACTATATGTCCTACATAGACATAATTAGATGTTTACAGGCGAGTTTACCTATATCTCACTGTCAGGATATAGGACAGCAGGCGAAACCTTCTAGAAACATCTAGAGTTTCAATAGCACATTGATTTGTCGCTGAATCAATTGTACTTCTGTTAATTTGTCTCGTTGATGTTGATTTCTTTTGTACACGTTTTCATTTTCTACTTGTTCAGTATGCTTATGTGACTCTTCAGATATGTAGGAATAAAGATAGGAACGAACAGACCTAATAAGATGTATACAGGTGAGTTCCTCTTCATCTCACATATCATTTTACAGTAAACGAGGTCATTAATTCTGGTTTTAATGATACCTTTGTGACTGGTACCTAGCCTCAAGACATGATAATTCTATACTTTTATCAATTCTTTAAAACATTTTTCTTTTAATCAGAACTGATGTAAGTATGATTTCATTGACCAAATTTCTTTTATCCCTAAAATAATGATGGTACTAAGCTGATCCTAATCTTGTTCCCGAGTTATTTTAAGAATGAATAAATAATGTCACCTTTGATTTGGATATTGCCAACAGCTACAGCTAGATCTGTAAAACATTTTGAGTGACAACTCCTGTCGTACAATAAAAGTTTACACTGAAACAAGTGCCTGAGATATTGTCTCTCAGACTGCTCTAATTATATAATGATACAAAAAATCTGCACACGCTTGTTCTGTCTACTGTTTATGCAAATTAGCTGACATATATATAATTACATCCTTCTTGGAACATAGCTTTAAGTCCTAGTCTCATCTACACCTCCATAAAAGCAAGGAAATGATAACAAAGCAATGACGCCTTCTCCAGGACGGCTGGTACAAAAATAGCTAGAACCAGGTCACAGCATGTTTTACTTTACAGACACTGATATATTTGGATATAACAGGTACAAGGCCCTGCAGTTTGCCTTACTTTAGCGCCTTGGCAGGGAAATTATCAGTGTATGGTGTGTATATATAGGACATGCTCCACCAAAATAGCTCTATTATCATGCAGCCCGTGTTCACTAACCATTCAGATCTAGCTATATATCTATCTATTGTTAGTGCTAAACCCTCAAAATGTTTCTTAAGGGACGAAAATCAAACCTCGAGTAAAATTGACTGTAGTGCCGCAGGTGTAAACATCAAAAGAAAATAAATAAAAAGTGGGTTAGCTCATATTTATTGTGATGGATCGCACAGGTATGATAGCTGTGCTACAACACTAACCATTCACTGAGCAGGTGGTTTGTGTGTGAGAGTGGTAGAGGTTGCCTCCCTTCCACCACTTACCTAGGATCTCGGCGTTTAAAAATGTCCTTCATGGATTTTGTAAAGATATTTTTAACCTTTTTAATTTTATTGAAAGGAGTGAGGTTGTTTTGAATAGTTGTGGTTAAAAAGGTCTGCAAGCTAAGTCAGAATGAAAGGATGTAAATAAAAAATGTGCTTTTCAGCGTAAGCTATGTATAGATGTGTATATATGGTAGGCTAGGTTTAGAGAAGTCATTGTGCATTCTGATTATGTAATTGTGGAGTATTATACAGGTTAAATTTGTTTCAGCTTTACGTGGATGTGTACAGGGTCCACCCACTGGTAGTGTGTGGTTGGTACACCCCTGGCGGCATCTTACAGTGTCGACTGTCACATTACAAGGCTTTACCTCTAACATGGTTATGGTGGGGGAAATTTGTGTGAATCTTCCCGGCCACAATTGGTATATAGCACTACCCAGACATTGATGAAAGGTCAATAACCGGTCTAGGGACCAGACTAACTAAAGACGAAAAAAAATACACCATATATACATATATGGGCAGACCGTTACTGATAAACTGTCTATCTAGGTTCATATACAGATACATTTCTCTTGTCTGAATATGAAGGCAGTGTTGTCATTGTTATAAACTGACATCGTATATTACGAAATTTGAAATCCGCAATCAACATATGTTGGAGGTATAGGAGATTTGTTTGGAATTAAGAACTATAGCACCTGGTCACGGACATTGTTTGCAGCGAGCCATGTTTTCATTCTATAACACCACTGGATACAACTCCTACCGGGACTCGTTTCACTTAACGGAGCGTGAAATTGCTATTTTTAAACGCCTCAAAGGTTGGTTTCTTTCCACTTTATTAGTTGATAGCTGTACGAATACCGAATTTAATCAGACGGTCTAAGGTTTTAAAACCCATAACAGATCATAATTTGAAACTTCTCGATTTTTATCGAAGTTCTACTTTGACACGTGTCTGTTGTAAGGATATGTGTTATTCTGTATGTTACAAGTACCTCGTATATTGATTATACCTTATCGTTTAGAACTCCTTTGAAAATTGGTCAATTGCATGAACATTTTCTGAGAAATTAAGGTTGGATTTATGACAGAACAAAAAAAAAAAATTCTTGGTGACAACCAATTAGATGTAAAAAATCAAGCAACTTAGCTGATAGGTTGTTAATTGGTTTTAATTTGAATGTTAATATGTAATTACCTCTCTCAATTTAAGTTAATTGCCTTTATGATGTGATGATATATTTTATAAAAGTTTCTATAATAGGTCTCCAGATGATATGTTAAGCTACAAAACTTTTTGTACTTTTTTGCTGTTTCTGATTCTACACATGTTCAGGACTGAACTGAGGTAGTTAAGATAACATATGGGATACTTTATATTCATGTAATGACAAGTTTTAAGAGTTACATGTAACCGGAGCTTTTTGGAAATTAGAAAAAATTCACGCCAGTATCAGAGATTCGCAAAGAGATATGGGATGTCATCTTTAATCTAATCAGTTTATCTCGAAGTGTTAATGAAATATCAATACACATATTTTTTTTGAAGTTGAATTTCATTGCGAAGTGAAATTTTGGAACATATGTCTTTTGTCAATATGAAAGATATGACAGGTTTATTCATTAATCTAAATGTAAGTAATATTTTTCCCAGTATAAATTAGTCAATTTTTTTTATTGGGGTAAATGTAGTAAAATTGTAATACACAAATAGTTAAAAAAATATTGGTAACAAATGCACCATACCAAGAGGTGCATTCTTTTTTATTGAGGTAATAAAATGAAATAAAATTCAGTATACGTTGATGGAGGAACTAAATATACACACTGATATCTTTGACATGCTACAGAAACGTGAAGTAAGACACAGCAAATATTGACATGCCTTGTCTGTCGAGACAGGAGTTCATGTTCATTAGCTATAAATATAAATAAGTAACTAGAGATTTGTGACCAGGTAGAGCAGTATATAAACTAGGACCAGAGGGGCTCAGGGTAAGGGAGACATGGTCCAGATACAACAAGGGGTGTTTGGTCCTAAGGGGCTCAGGGTAAGGGAGACAGGGTCATGACAACAAGGGATGTTTGGTCCTAAGGGGCTCAGGGTAAGGGAGACAGGGTCATGACAACAAGGGATGTTTGGTCCTAAGGGGCTCGGGGTAAGGGAGACATGGTCCAGATAACAAGGGGTGTTTGGTCCTAAGGGGCTCAGGGTAAAAGAGACATGGTCCAGATAACAAGGGATGTTTGGTCCTTATGGACCTATGGTAAGGGAGACATTGGCCTAACAACAAGGGATGTTTGGTCCTTAGGGACCCATGGTAAGGGAGACATGGTCCTGACAACAAGGAATGTTTGGTCCTTAGGGGCTCAGGGTAAGGGAGACATGGTCCAGATAACAAGGGATGTTTGGTCCTAAGGGGCTCAGGGTAAGGGAGACATGGTCCTGACAACAAGGAATGTTTGGTCCTTAGGGGCTCAGGGTAAGGGAGACATGGTCCAGATAACAAGGGGTGTTTGGTCCTAAGGGGCTCAGGGTAAGGGAGACATGGTTCAGATAACAAGGGGTGTTTGGTCCTAAGGAGCTCAGGGTAAGGGAGACATGGTCATGACAACAAGGGGTGTTTGGTCCTAAGGGGTTCAGGGTAAGGGAGACATGGTTATGACAACAAGGGGTGTTTGGTCTTAAGGGGCTCAGGGTAAAAGAGACATGGTCCAGATAACAAGGGATGTTTGGTCCTTAGGGACCCATGGTAAGGGAGACATGGTCCTGACAACAAGGAATGTTTGGTCCTTAGGGGCTCAGGGTAAGGGAGACATGGTCCAGATAACAAGGGATGTTTGGTCCTAAGGGGCTCAGGGTAAGGGAGACATGGTCCTGACAACAAGGGATGTTACTCAGGCAAAATGTTAGGAATTTTCAGTAAGCTAAATCTAAAAGTTGTAAGAAAAAAGGTACTTTAAACTATCTGCTGGATATAATAAGGTAATCCCTTAAATATCCATTACTAAACCAAATATTAATCGACAATTAATTGAAAATTGATTATAACTGATCGATTATGAAACGACATCTGATTCCCAACACCAGCCTAAAGTAAAGGAAGCATGGACGACTCTTGAGTCAGGGATTCTTAACAGGATATAATGAATGTGCAGTACTGATTAATGGACAATTTGTATGCATTGAAAAATAAGTGCTGATTACTATGTAATAAATTTTAGCAAGGAACTATCTCACAAGTTCTATAACCTTTTTGTACTTACAGGGTTTTCTGCAGGCCCGTACAACTGTAATGAGCCGGCGATTGACATGAGGACACACAATGGCCGCCGTAGCAGCCCGACCAACTCAACCAGCTCTTCACATATTAAGGAGGAACACATCTCAGATTCGGAGGACAAGAACTCAATAGACGGGGACAGGCTCATCTCCAATGCTGTCGGTATGTAACTAGGGGATACAAATTACATCTCTGGTGCTCCGTGTATATACATATAGGGTATGCTGTCTCCATCGCAACACTTTGAGCCTATCTCTGTTTACGCCCCATGCTGTTTTATTTGGGGATGGAAGGGGTGGGGGCCACATAGTGGTATCCATGTCTGTCCCTTCCCCTCCAACCATGTCACGTCCTGTCCGATTCTGTGTCATTGCTCTTACAACTTCACTTCTTAACAGATTTTGATCAAACTTTATTCAAAGGTCAAGTGTGTCAAAATTCTGAGGTAAAGTTCAAGGTCATTAACTACTCATAGAAATCAGTCTACCAATTCAGTAACATCTTCTTACCAACTTTGTTTCTTAATGGATTTTCATCAAACTTTATGCAAAGGTCAAGCATGAGAACATCTAGAATGAATCAGTATTTCATGAATCCAAGGTTAAGGTCAATGCCAAGGTCACTGTTAATATTTATAGAAATTTGTCTTCTAATTTAGTGACACTTCTCTACCAATTTTATTTCTCGATATATATTGATAAAACTTTATGCAAACGAATGTGGTCATACTTCAGAACTGTGAGGTCAAGGCCAAGGTCATCATGGTCATACTTCAGAACTGTGAGGTCAAGGCCAAGGTCATCATGGTCATATTTCAGAACTGTGAAGTCAAGGCCAAGGTCATCATGGTCATATTTCAGAACTGTGAGGTTGACAAGGCCAAGGTCATCACTACTATTTATAGAAATTTGTCCAAAATTGTCACTGATTTGGATGAGAGCAGGGGCATTGATGTCTTTCCTATGTCTATTTTTCTCCATCCTACTTTTAACTTTCACTGAGTTTCAGTAGTGTTTTCGTTGTCTGAACAATGTGAATGGGTTTGAGCATTGGGTGGTGCTACTGTGTGCAGATTATGACATTTCAGTGTATTGGTATTTAAAGTGGACCTATAGTGGCCCCATCATCTGTGGACCATCGTCATATATACATGACCTTAGCTGTTGTAAGAATACAAAACCCTAAGAAAAATTCATAGGATTCATAGAATCTTTTCCCACCTTGGGGATAAGACAGAAAATTCGCCACCCAAGGCAAACCCAAGGCTTTGCAGAGGGCCAGACTTTTTAGAATTTTACCCTAAGGGATGAGATTATCCTGTCTTGCTCCTAAAGTGGGGAATGATGATTTTTCTCCCACATCCTATACAAGTGATAATTTTATAAAATGGAAACGTATATTTCATAATTTCCAGTAAATTGGAGTTATCGTCCATGATCTGCTATTGTTGACATGACGTCATTTTTATTGTTGACGTGATGTCATTGTTGACATAAAATTAGTATGACATGGGAATCCCCCTCAAATTTACCCTAGGGTAAGACAGAAATTTCTCTCATTTCCGTGTGTGTGAGATAGAGCTGTCCAGGGTAAGTAAGGGGTGTAAGAAGTCTTACACCCCATTTCACGTGACGTGACATCACAATGGCTCAATAATGACGTAATGTCAGAAATTTGGAGAATTCTGATGTCACAATGCGGAAAAGGTGATGTGATGAAATTAAAACCTTTAACGATATATTTACTGTACACGTTAGAAAGATGAAATAAATTTTTCTGCACCAACTTTGGTTGCCAATAAGGGGTATGCTAAGTTTCGCTGATAGATTCATTTTCATCAAAAAAATGTGATTGTATATAAGATCTTGATTTCCAATAACACCAGTATATGTTTGAAAAGTTCTGAAATAAAAATACTTTACTTTGATGCCATTGTTATACTCTTTAATTGAATCAGAATTGATTCTCGGTGTCATACGAAACTATTATAAGTATTGGTGATTTTATTGAGAGATATATGTGTAATATGCTTATGTCTGTAAGATTAGAACTGAAATTGGATGTGATCGGTGATTTTATTGAGAGATATATGTGTAATATGCTTATGACTGTGAGATTAAAACTGAAATCGGATCTGTATCACTTAATGAGTGACAAAAGGGCAAGTTTTTATATTGATACAAATCTTCCCATGTTAAAAAATGTAAACTACATACAATTATACAGGAAACAGATGGCAATAGTTGGGTCTGACGTGTGAGATGTGACGTTCAGACTGTTACGGGCCCAATAGATGTGCTGTGTGGGAGTACACACATTGGTTACATAGGTACTTCCACAGACTCTCTATTGTATTTAAGATAATCGAACATAATTGTGACGCATGGGGAAACAGTACACCTCCGAAAGGTTAAAGATGCCTTGGTTTCCAAAGACAGACAGAGAAAATATTTGTATTCTTATTGAGGTCGCCATTGGGGAACCAGGCGCTGTCCTTTTAACCCCCTCCCTGTCTTTTAAGCCCTTAAAGTTTCTGCATTCATATCTACACAGTGCAACTATTAGGTTTAATAAATTGTCACTCATGGGAAATGTACTCAAATACACACATTTACCTGTGCATTTAAATCGTGTCATAATGTACAGGAGATACGTATTGTACACTATATGATGTATGTGACACAAAATTTGACAGGTGAGAGTGAGTTTGTTGTGGTTATCAGGTGCAAAGTCAGTCTGTGATAATGGAACTGCACACAAAGGTTTTAGTCACAGTACTAAACAGGAGTGCTTTCTATTATAGGGTTGAACTAGTTTGATAAAGAGGATTTCATCGGTGGCTAACAAAAGTAGAAAGTTGTGGTAGGTTTAGTTTTCAGATAAAAAGTGCTGGTCAATCAAGTTTTCAAGATCGATTATTAACAACTCATGATCACCTGGTACATAGAAACAGGGACTTAGCTTATGTAGTGGTGCTTGTCAGTCAATTGTCTGCCATCTGTCGTCAATCAACTATTGTATTGAAAAAAGGACATCTCCTCCTAAATTACTGAGCAGAATTCAACCAAATTCTGGTGTTGGCACATAAGGCCAAAGAAATCATAAGATATACAAATAAAGAGGCTGATTATCCTGNGGGATTAATATGAAATAAACAAATATAATTGGCAACAGTGTTCGGCATGTAAAATTCAGTGGCATATCCTCCCAAGCTGCTGGACAGATTTTCACCAAATTGTAGCATACTTGTCCCATAGGGAACAGATGTATTGATTAAGGAGCTGATGTGTTGGGTAAAAGGAGCCAAGTTTGTTGATTTGCATTATAGGGATTTAATAGGAAGATTTGCATCTGAAACGGTGTCTCTTCCAAACCTTACTTGGGCAGATTTTAACCAAGTTTTGGTGTTAATATCTTTAGCCTATTGGGATCAAAAGTTATGCAACTAATGAGGCTAGTGTTCCTTGGGGAGGGAGGAAGGGGTGGGGGTGGGGGGGCTCTCCTCCTAAACAGATGGGCAAATTTTAACCTGAGATTTTTCAAAATTTCTGAGCAGTTCACTAAAGGCACTTTAACCACTTGTTCAATAAAACCTGTGAGCGTACCATTTCTGAAATCTAGGACTATGAATTCGAAACTGTTTTTACAGGCATGACAATAGCTTTAATAAATCATTTCTGAAAAGAAACCCATGCAAGATGAAAATTAAAATTAAAATCAACAGTTTTCTGTAAGTTATAGTGTAATAGGCCAGAACAGGATTTGAACCCTGGACTTTCATTCGTAAAAAGACTTCTATATGCTTTGTCTGTATTCCGATGGTTACCAGGTATATACATGTGTGTATATAATATATATGCTTTGTCTGTATTCCCATGGTTACCAGGTATATACATGTGTGTATATAATATATATGCTTTCGTATGCTGGATAACCGAACTACTCAGTAGTGAAGCGAATGTAAAACCTATCAATCTGTCAATCAATCAATATATATGCTGGTCACTCTGCTACATAATTTTGTTGGCAAATCCACAGTTGCCATATTTATATTATTACATGTACTTTCTTTGTTTTTTTTATAATGATTATTTCCACTTCACATTACAACACCAAAAAAAACAACTTTATACAACATGTTCTGTGACTATTATTATGCCAAAAGGGGACCTTGTTAACATTCATTTTATGTGGGGAAAAAGTAATAATTTACAAACGATTCCGGTTTTTGACCGAGAAGTAGTCTGAATCGTGACATCACAATACATGTACACATAAGTGTCAATATTTTGTTGTTTACTGACTCTGTCATAGCTCATAACCCAGGTCACTGTATTGACCTGTGAAAATGCTTCCCAAGCTTTTCAACAGTTGTACCTCTAATCAAGACATATGTTCATCACTGTACGACGTGAGACATCAATGTATAAATGTTAATGTAGAAATAAAGGTTTGCAATAAGTACTAGTGACTTGGGACATTGACTGTAATCACATTCTTATAGGATCATCAGCCCTCTTACAACTTTTCAGAGATAAACACTCTTCAGCCTTTTGGCTAATGCCAAAATTTTGGCTTAGTCAAATGCAAACTGCAATTTCCCACATAGAAAGAAGCTAAGATGACAAAAATAAATCAAGATTTCAGTGTTTTTGCCCATGTGCCCATTTGAACTTTCAGAGATATAAAATCTTTGTCAGCAGATATTATTTTTCATCTTTCAGACATCTTAAAAAAGTTAACCTTTTCTTATTATATCATCAAATGGAATATATATAACAAAAAACGGTTAGACAAGTTTTTTTTGTCTGGTAACAGTAAAAAAAAAAAAAAAAAATTCCATCAAAATACATGCAAAGATATCATGTTTCAATGTGGACAGAAGATTGATCCAACCATTTTGGTCAGCGATTTTGATGGTCAGAGATCCATTAGGGTTAAATGGTTTCCAACCATCCATTCTTCTTCCACTCCCAGTGATATTTCAAAGCTCACCATTGATCGGCAGACAGCAAGGGACCAATGTGTCAAAATCAAGGCCAGTCCTGTCAAGCCTGTTCTGGGGCAAGTTTTGAAAGGCTCTTTTCCACAGAATTTTATGAATCTTTCCTGATATTCCTGTATGAGAAACATATTTGCATTAGGGGGCGACGAGGCTTATA